AAAAAAAAAAAAAGTTTTTTTGAAAAATTGGGTCGGCGGGTTATGCAAAACGAAAAATTAACTTTGCGTGGCCTTATCATAGTTTATGACAATAAATTTTATTTTTATAGAATATATTATAACGGTTGTATTTGGGAAAGCTGGGCGATTATAGACAAATAGTGCCAATTTGAACTCCAACCGATTACGGGATTGGGTTTATATAAGCGTAGGAAAATATAAATTTATCTTAAACTAATCAATTACAGCAAACTTAAAATGATAATAACTAAAAATGCAAATGTAAAAGTGATGAATTAAAATGATTCGGAAATAATATTAAGAAGTATTACTTCTTAAAGCAAGTGGAGAGAAGTATGATTGATTGATAATGATGTTAAAGATAGAACTTGACAAATAATTAATCTTAAGGGCAAGAATGAAGATACTTGTTATCCAGGGATGATATCAACGGAATTTGATATCTAAAGCAATAATATGATCCAAGAATGATATATGGATACTTTATACTATAAATTATATTTTTATTTCAGCTATCTATCAAATCAGTTGATGCTGGTGATGCCAAAGGAGGTGGGGTGGTATACTTTTCTTTCTCAAAATAATTCTTTTCTTTTAGACAAAAGAGCTTTTGAACAGAAATCACGTGATCAAGTTCCTAGAATGTAAAGAGGCCATTACACAGAATTTTGAGTCTCAATAAGCTTTTTCGAGATTACGAGTCAATTCAGTCTGTCAAATTGAGTTACAAAAGGTTTATTAAATTTAAAGTTGAAATTTTAACAATAAGTATTTTCTGTATTATCAATGTTATTTTGGGCAAACGTGGAACTTGTCCAACTTTATTAAAATTGAAGAGTTTATATATATTAATTTTTTTCTGTGCGTTTATGCTCTATCAAAAGTGAATTCATGTTATTTTGAATGTATACTATCTTTTTTTAAGCGAATATGCTTTAATCCGAATAACTACGCTCTTGGTGCAGGATCTACATATTCGTGTAAGCGCGTATACACGCTATTCAGAACATTCACACATTTTCATGAGATAAGCCACCAAGCCACAATCAATTACCTATTTAGTATAGTTAATTGAATATTCTTATCATGACTATACTATGTGGGTACTGTTATCAAAATGGAATTGGTGGAAGTAAATGAACTATATACAAGAAAATAACTAAACTAAAAAAATGATAAAGAAACAAAAAAATAAAATAAAATAAAATAAATAAAAGAATAAAAATAAACTAAAAGAAAATATTTGTGATATTTGCCTCCTCTTAGCCTTGAGCTACTGTGAAAGGAGTCAAGTCTAAAACCTTGTCAAGCTTCTGTTGAGCTAATGTTTTGCTTCACTTTGCAAAGTAGCAAAAGATCTAAGCACATAGTAATGAGATAATTGACTAGAGTGATAAAAATTATTGGAAGAAAGTTGTGAACACACATAAGCCACTTTTTCTTCTCATTTGGCACCTAAAGGTACCTCGATTATATAATTGGACGCTTGTCTTCGTCAAAGGTCTTCCAAATAACTCAGTAGTTTGGCATATAGCAATTGTGCATCAGTCTTGCGTTTAGAAGGATCTAAATTAATAATTTGGGATTGTTGATCTGCTAAATAAATAATAATATCTGTAAAAACAAAGTAAGTGCTCTCAATGCCGGAATTTAACATTTGGGTCTTTAAAGTAGCTAAAGTTCTTTTGATAGAGGCAGAAATTTTCATAACAAAATAAATAAAGAATAAAAATAAAAAAAATAAAAAAAATAGAGAGAAAGAAAAGAAAAAAAAATAAAGAAAAAGAAGATAGGTACACTAAAAGGAAAGAAAGAACAAAATCTTTAGAATAGGCTTTTTATTTCATACAGCTGACATAATTCTAAGGTGGTTACACAACTATAAACACGAATAATATCGAGACAACCGGTTTCCATGAATTTTAGCCTTGAGAACATGTCTAGTCATTGTTCTTAATTTATACAACCCATAGGGTAGTACATTATGGATGTAATAGGGGCCTAAATTTTGAGGTTCCAATTTAGAGCTGTGTGATGTGGCTAGATCAGACCTATATAAAAGGACTTGATCACCAATCTCATATGACTTCATCTTTTTCTTTTTTTCATAGTATTGTTTTTGCCTAACTTGTGATTTTCTTATTTGTTGAGCTGCTATGCATCGTGCTTCTATTAATTCACCTATTATCTTTTCTACCAGTCTGAATATTTGATTTTGTACTTCTTCCTCTGTTTCAGGTTGGTTATTAGGATGGTTTTTACTGGAAGGACAGCCAATTGACCATATAACAAGAAAAATAGTAGATATCCAGTGGTACAATGTGAAGTGGTCCAGTAAGCAAAAAGAGCTGAAGAAATATATTGATCCCAGTCTTGACTAGATTGATTAACACATTTATTTAAGACTTCACATAGAGTCTTATTAAAACGGTTGACCAAACCATTAGTTTGGGGATGGTATGCTATAGAGATATGATGGGTAATGCTTAATTTTTTGCACAGAGCTGAGACAAGCTTATTACAAAAATATGTACCCTGGTCTGATAATATTTCTTTAGGGCTGCCATGGTGGCAAATTAGGTCTTCAAAAACAAAGGTGGCTACATTTTCAGCATTGGCCGCTTCAAAGGCTCGAGCTTCAGGCCATTTAGTGAGATATTCGGTAGCAACTATGATGTACCTTTTATTTGAAGAAGTTATAGAAAGTGGACCAACAATATAAATACCTATACGATCGAAGAAGCTTCCAACTTTAATGTGTACAAAGGTTCACAAGTGTTAGGTTTTTGTTTTTTCTGATATATATTCCAGGTTTTAATATACTCTTTTATATATACTCTTTTATATCATTGTCTATTTGAGGCCAAAAATAACGAGTAGTGATTCTTTAATAAGTAGCATAAAAGCCAAAATGTCCGGAAAGAGGGTCATTGTGCATACTAAAAAGTATGGCTTGGGTTTCACTTTTCTTTAGGATGCGTAATGGATATGTGGGAAATCGGGAATTGTTTTTATATAATAGTCCATCTAAGACCAAATAATAATGGGTCTTATATTTTAAACTCTTAATCTCTTGAGAAGTAAAGTGGAAAGATACTATAGTGTCCACGAGATACTGAAGGTAACATAAATATAATTGAGGGTCCATATTCACTAACTTGGTCTAATTTGCATCAATTGATTTTTTTTTTAATTTACTATTCTTATTTAAAGAGGAAAAAAAAACAGAATTATAGTAATCTTAAAATTTTAAATTAAAGAAATTATTGATAATGCCAGGACACCAAAACTTGGACTGGATTTATGGATTTTTAAAGGATGTATAAGATTTAAAAATAATTTCTATTTTTATCAGGTTCCAAGAATTTGTTTTTCTAAAAATATTTTTAAACCAAGGATGCTTTATTGGTGGCAATCTATTAGATATGGGAAAGACTATTGGCATTGAGGTGGAATCTTCTGGGATGATATACAGTTGCGAAGGAATATTCGGTAAGGGTCATTATTCATCTAGCTAGACTGTCTTGAAGTAACTTACCTTCAAATAAGTATTTAAGAGCAGAATGGTCGGTATATAGGATAAATCTACTTTCATATAAGTATAGGCAAAAGTATCCTATGGCCTATATAACGGCTAAATATTCTTTTTCGGTGATAGAATAGTTTTTCTCTGCTTGAGTAAGACTTTGACTTGTATAGAATATAACTTGCTCATGACCTTTCTCATTTTTTTGGGATAATATAGCACCTAGAGCAATATTGGAAATGTCAGTAAAAAGAATAAAAGTTTTATCAAAATCAGGGTACACCAAAATGGGAGTGGTAATCAATTTTTCTTTTAAGGCTTTAAAAGCCTTTTGTTGTTCTTCTTTCTATATGTGAGCCTTATATTTCTTTAATAATTGATTAAGAGGGGCATTGAATTTGGTAAAGTTTTTAATGAATTTTCTATAGTAAGAGGCTAGCTCTAAAAATTCTCGTAACTGCCTCAAATTTTTAGGGATGAGAAAGTTCTTTATTGCTTCTGCTTTTGAGAGTCGATAGATATACCTTCTTTTCTGACAATATAACCTAAAAATTTTATCTGTCATTGGCTAAAGAAATATTTAGAAGATTTAAGGGTAAGGCTAGCCAATTTTAACTACTCAAAAACTAATTTCAGATACATTAGGTGATCCTTGAAAAATTTTGAATATACATTAATATTGTCTAAGTAGACGACAACACACACTCCTATCACGTTCTGAAAAAGGTAATCCATGAAACGTTGGAAGGTTGCTGGGGTATTTGTTAATCCAAAAGGTATTACATGGAACTTGTAGACACCAAAAGGAGTGGTGAATGCTGTTTTAAGTTTATCTGAATTTTTTACTTCAACCTGCCAGTACCCACTGGCAAGGTCAAGGGAACTATACCAAAACGATCTGTTTAAAGCATCTAAAAAGTCTTAAATACAAGGTAGGGGATAGTTGTCTTTGTAGTTTACTGAATTGAGCTTTCAGTAATCTATATAAAACCTGGTTTGACCATCAGATTTAGGTACCAATACCACAGGCGATATTCACGAGCTTTGGCAAGGTTGAATTAACTCTTCTTTTAACATTTTGTCAATTTTAGTTTTAATTATTTTCTTTTTGGCAGGTGAATGCCAATATGGGTGGTGTTTAATGAGTAGGGCATTTTCAGTATTAATGCTGTGCTTGATTAAATTGGTATGTCCTAATCTATAACCTTTCCAAGTAAATAAACTTGAATTTTGTTCCAAGAAATTCCTAAGCCAGTTACTTTGTTTCTCATCAAGGGAACCTATATTGAAAGTATTTCTTCTACTAACTTCTTCTCTGAAGTAATAATCAAATATATCAATAATAGAATTTAATGTTTTTTCTATAGGCTTATGAGAGATATAACCATAAAGGTCTGGTTTAGCTTCTTCTTCATAAAGATAAGCATTTCTAGCCAAATCATATAAACATTTAGCCAAAGGGGACTTAAGTTTTTCTTTTTCAATTTTAACTTGTCTTCTTACTTTATAGATACTTTATTAGTATCAGAATCATTTTTGTCAAACTGATATTCAGAAACTTTATGTTTTTATGCTGACACGTACTATTCAAAATTTGAATCAGTAGATTTATCTAAATCACTTTCAAGAATTATCATCAGAGGATTTTCACCTGGAGTTGGAATAAATGGAGAAACTATTCTATTATACTGGGTAATAGTGTCTAAAGAATTCTGGGATATATTAAAAAAGTCTGGAGAATTACTATTGGCTACTGCATACAGTACCCAGGGTCTTATTTAAGAACTTAGTTTTTAAAATTGAATAGTACCCATAGGTATTGTGTGAAGAACCAGGTACTATATCTGGGGATATATCATATTAATAGTAGTAAATCATTATAGTTATACCCCTGGGTCTTATTTAAGAATTAAGTAGAATGGGTAGTGAATAATACCCGGGTCTTAATCATGGAGGGTATTATTTTTGGGAGATACTGTATACAGTGGCCAATGGTATTACTAACTACAGTTCTATTCAGAGATATGGATGTTTCACTCTTTAGGGTAAGTTCTTTATAACAAACCAACAAAGAGAAATTAAAATTTAAGAAATGTAAAGACAATTCTTTACATATATAATTTAGGGCCAAGAGTTGGAAAATTTCTATACTAATTTTTTCTGCTGCTAGAACCGAGGAAGAATTAGACGAACTATTAGAGATGAAATTTAAATTTTCTACATTTTTTTTAACTAAACCACCTAATTGGGTCTTAAGTTGGAACGTATAGTGTTCCAACTCCTCAAAAGGTTTGAATACATTATCTTGTTCAACTGGGGGAATAGTAATTGGAGAAATAAAGTATGTCCCTTTTTTAGTTAAAAGTTCAAATACTTTAAAGCTAGAAGTGGTAGATGGGGTAAGACTATTGAATAATTTAAATGAAGCATTAGAGGACCGATCCAAAAATATATGAATGGGAACTTTGTTATTTTCACAAGCCATAAACAGATGTTTTGATAAGAATTTAGGGACTCTGAGAATTCTGATGAATCCAAGAGGTAACTGCCTTTCTCTAATTCAGAAATATTATAAACTTTTTCTTCTAATTCTTCTTCTTTATATTCATCGTCGCTTAAATCTTCTTCTAATTCATCATCTTTTTTTTTTAGGTTTTTTAGTTTATTAGGTTGATTTTTACTTAGAGGCTTAGGTGGCAATCTTTTGAATTCCACCAGAACAATTATCTCATGTTATTCCAGATAAAAGTCATTTTAGCATAGTCCAATCAATTTTAGCTTGAACTTTAGAAAGCCAATCATTTTCAACGATGATATGGTAGAAACTAGCATCGGTTACAACCATGTTAATAGGGATTTCTATTCTGGCAACAGCAGAGAGAAAATTGGAAATTTCTCCAAAAGCACTTTACTTTTGCTATGGACATTTACTATATTAATGGTAGAGGGGTATTTAACCTTGATACCCAAGTCATGTAGTAGATGGGAGGTAACAAAACTTCTGGAGGACCCCTATCAACTATTATAGACACCTCACACCAAGAACGGTAGCATCACAATACAAAGCCGTAGACTTGCTATTAGGGGCTATACTGATATTAACTGGCTTTTTGTTTAGGAAAAATTTTTTTCTTATAAAGACTCCAAATTAATTCAGTATGCATAGCCAGAATCGCTTATAAGAGTTGTTTTATAGTAATATTAGCTGGTTTATCCCTTAAATCAGTTATAAATGAATATGGAGGGACCAAGGAAGAAATCTAAGACATTTCTTTTTCAGAAATCTTCATCTTATAGGTTTTGTTACAGAAATTTTAGAAGAATTACATGTATCCTTTTCTTTGTTTATGATATTATTTTTTTCTTTATTTATATAGTTTTTTTTTTTTTCTTTTCTTTTTCTTTTTCCAACAATGCTTCTAACGATTCTTCCATGCCAGACTCTAGATCACCATCCTCCTCCTGAAGATGTTTTGTAGATCAAGACTTTATAGTAAAAAAGAGTATATCTTTTTTGAAAAGGTTAAAAAAAGTAGATTCGTTATTGGTTGGGGCTTGACTATCTGAATTATTTTGGGATGGGAAAGAATTTAAGCTAGCTGCTAAGGCTTGTAAAGCCTCCTGAGGTTGCATTTCCGAGGCATTACCTGTATTAGAGTTAACGTTAATATTAACATTATTATTATAGATAGGGTTAAAACTAGCAGGCATAGAAGTATTTTGAAAATTTGTATTAAAGTGAGGGTGTACAACAGGATTTGGGATCTGACCAGAATTATATGATTGATTTAGGAGAGAATAACCTTGGGGTGTGTTAGGTGGGGCATTTGGGATATTAGTGGCATATCAATTACGACTAATATGACCTGCCCTTTCATATTTATAACAGACTACTCTGTTAAAGTTCTCAGCTGTAAACATTCATAATTTTTGCAACTAGGTTAGCATTTTATTTACAGCTTTGGTTAACTTATCGATGGCTGTTTTAGAAGTTGCTGAAGGTGTAGAACCAGCAGATATATTTGGATTTGATTGGGAGGAATACAAAGCACTAATAGAGGTAGGTAGAAATGGAAGGTTTTGCTTAGCACGGTTTTATCTGTTTGTAATATATTAGGGGTAAAAATAGCAACAGCTAGCACAATATCGAGTCGTAATCCATTCAAGAAGAGTTGGGCTTTAGCTGTTTCTAAGTAGGGTTGAGCTCCAGTCTCTATTCGATAAAGAAATTCTTGAATTGCGGTGTGATAGGTATCAATATCTTCTCCTACTTGCTACTTACAGGTAGCTAATTCGGCAAACCATTTTCCTTCCAAAGCTGGGGTACAGAATTGAATGATATAATGAGAGCAAAAACTTGTGTTTGAGTGGGCCAGGTCATTCTAGGCATTGATAGAGTTTGGTGGTCACTATGTGGTTGCCCACCAAGTTGCTGCTGCACCCTTTAGGTAGGGAACGATTACCGGGATTTGGCAATTATTATTACTAGGTTAGCGGCAAAAGCCTTTTTGATCTCATTGAGCCAAGTTATAGGTTTCTAGTCCCTATCTATAAAGTCAGAATAATCAACTATACTTAATTCTCGATTGGAAGAATTATAATTGATCTGTGGGGCCAGAGCTGCTTGCATTTGTTGAATTAATAGCCCAATTTGTGCAGCTAAGTTGTCAACAAAGTTCAATGGTTGTGGTGGCTGCAGCTGTTGGGGTGGTTGAGGTTGCTGAGGTAGCTGTGGAGGATTGAGCTGCTGGATTTGGCTGCAAGGGTGGGTTGACTTGTTGGGCTAGATTTAGTTGTAGTGCTAGGTTCGGCAGCTGTCTCAAATTACTTGGATTAGGTCGAGTGGAATTTACTGGTTGCGGAGGATTACGTTGCACTATATCTTAAGATAAGTTTTTAATTTTGAGTTTTTATTATATAAAAATATTAACTAATACGTTTGTTTTATTGAAGGTGTGATATTTTGGTTTAATCCACACAATTGGCACCAAATATAATGGTTGTATTTGGGAGAGCTTGGTGATTATAGACAAATAGTGCCAATTTGAACTCCAACCAATTATGGGATTGGGGTTTATATAAGCATAGAAAAATATAAATTTATCTTAAACTAATCAATTATAGCAAACTTAAAATGATAATAACTAAAAATGCAAACGTAAAAGTGATGAATTAAAATGATTCAGAAATAATATTAAGAAGAAGTATTATTTCTTAAAGCAAGTGGAGAGAAGTATGATTGATTGATAATGATGTTAAATAATAGAACTTGACAAATAATTAATCTGAAGGGCAAGAATGAAGATACTTGTTATCCAGAGATGATATCAATGAAATTTGATATCTAAAGCAATAATATGATCAAAGAATGATATATAGATACTTTATATTATAAATTATATTTTTATTTTAGCTATCTATCAAATCAGCTGATGCTGGTGATGCCAAAGAAGGTGGGTGGTATACTTTCCTTTCTCAAAATAATTCTTTTCTTTTAGACAAAAGAGCTTTTGAACAGAAATCACATAATCAAGTTTCTAGAACGTAAAGAGGCCATTACACAGAATTTTGAGTCTTAATAAGCCTTTTTGAGGTTACAAGTCAATTCAGTCCATCAAATTGAGTTACAAAAAGTTTATTAAATTTAAAGTTGAAATTTTAACAATAAGTATTTTCTGTATTATCAATGTTATTTTGGGCAAATGTAAAACTTGTCCAACTTTATTAATATTGAAGAATTTATATATATTAATTTTTCTTTGCACGTTTACACTCTATCAAAAGTGAATTCATGTTATTTTGAATATATACTATCTTTTTTTAAGCAAATACACTTTAATCCGAATGACTATGCTCTTGGCGCAGGATCTACATATTCGTGTAAGTGCGTATACATGCTATTTAGAATATTCACACATTTTTATGAGATAAGCCACCAAGCTACAATCAATTACCTATTTAGTATAGTTAATTGAATATTCCCATCATGACTATACTATGTGAGTACTGTTATCAAAATGGAATTAGTGAAAGTAAATAAACTATATACAAGAAAATAACTAAACTAAAAAAAATGATAAAGAAACAAAAAAATAAAATAAATAAAATAAATAAAAGAATAAAAATAAACTAAAAGAAAATATTTGTAACAATATATATAATATAATTTATAATTAAAATTAAAAATTAGATTCATGGTAACTTTTAAAATTTATTACATATAATAAGTACAGTTTAATAATTATAGCTAATCAAAATATTTATTCCTAAATATCCATTAGATTTACTAAATTCGTTATTTTAGAAGGTATTTTTAAGAGCAATTAACTCTTGATCAATAGCAAAACCAAGCAAATGAGTAAATTTATTATCTTGTTTAAACTGAAGTTTATTAATTTGTTTTTTTGCATACTTAAGAAGTTCTTTAGTATCCTTATAACCTTAAAATAGTAGGTTTAAAGTGTTTAATATTATATACTATGCTAACTTAAAATAAAATCTAAGCAAAGTACATATGATATCTAGAATACTTTGTTAATTGCATTTTGGATTGTATTCTTGACTGAATCTGATGATTTTTCTTCTTATAGCTGGCTTAAAAGAGGTTTAACAGATCAAAAAATAGTACTGTTTTGATTAATAATCATGCTTATTGCTTGTAATTTTGTTTCCTTCATTTGCACAATTATTTTAGCTTATATTGATACTCAATATTTGCTTTTTATTTGTAATTTTTAATTTCTTTTAATTTCTTTAGTGCATAGTTCAATATCTCATTTACAGATTCATATTCAAGCTTTATTCTTCTTTTTGCATTTTCATTACCTAACCTATAAGCCTCTTCTTCGAGTTTTATTTTCCTTTTTGCATTATTAGATTTTAGTTTACAAGCTCTTTCATCTGAGTTTAATTTTCTTTTTTTCTAATTCCAATTTTTCAGCTAATACTTTGTTACCCATAGTTTATATTCAACTTATTCTTATTCTAAGTCATATTTCAAATTTTATTTTTTAGAATGAAACAAAAACTATTTAGTACTTTTACCTATTAAAATGGCTTTATAATGATAACAGAAAATTAATTAACAATTGTCACTACATACATAATGAAAAAGCTTCTAGTTGTCGCAAAGTTCTCATTTAGCTTTGGTAATCTGAAAAGATAATATTTATATTTAATGAAGATTCTTTATACGTACTACTTTTATTTTTTATTTTTATTTGTTTTTTAACAAACTTCAAGTAATAATATAAGGCAATATGGGCTGCTGTCAATAGAAATCAGGCAAATTGTATTTTAAAAAATCTATACCTTAACTTTCACAGCTCAAATATCAATGAATTTTGAAGCTATTTTGATGATTCAATGTTCAAAAGAAAGCCTAGGACTAAATATTTCTTTTGGATAATAAATTATCAAACTAACTTCAAAATTCATCAAGATATATATAAGCTGTAAAAGTTAAAGTATAGATTTTTATTAAAA